AATATAAATATAACTTTGAAAATATTTGATATATTTGGTAAATAAATTTAAGAAATAAAATTAAATTATATTAAAAATGTCTGCTTGTAATGAGAATAATGTTGAAGTATCAACAAATAATATACAAACATCTAATAAAAGAAAAAAAGTCAATAATATAGAGAAAAGTATTAATCTCAGAAGTTGGGTCTGGTTATACTTTGATCATATATATATTAATAATATGTGATATGCAATCTGTAAGGTTGAGAAGATAAATAAAATAAAGTGTAATATAATGTATAAAGTGAATACATTAACAAGTAATTGTTCTTCTTATCTTTTGAATGCACATAGAATAACTAAAAACAATGATAAAAATAAAAATAATATAAAATCAGTTATTATTTCTTATGATAAGACATATCAACTTCAATTACATCAAGATCTAGCAGATTGGATCATAACTGATTTGCAGCCACTTACTGTTCTTCAAAATTCAGTATTTAAAAAGTTTATAACAAAATTAGATCCAAGATTTCAAATTCTATGTGTCAAATATATGAAAAAGCTTGTGCATATTGCTTATAATAATTCATTAAAATTAATTATAGAAAAAGTAAAAAATGATTCATATTCTGTATCTTTAACATGTGACTTTTGAACTAGAAAAAACTGACAAGGATTTTTAGGCATAACATGTTCATATATTGATAATTATTTTCAACTTCATGAAATTATAATTTCTATTAAGCATATTCATCATCCTCATACAGCTGAAAATATTAGTGATGCTATTCTTGCATTATTAGATGAATGAGAATTGCATAATAAAGTTCTTACAATAACAACTGACAATAGTAAAAATGTGCAAAAAGCTATTAAAGACTTGAAATATGAAGCAGAAAATATAACCTGGCTGCCATTTACTGTATATACTCTTCAATTAGTAATTGGCAAAGGATTAGAACTAGTTAAAGTTTTAGTTAAATGTGTTAAGCATTTAATTGAATTTTTTTTAAGACCAAAACAGTTTGAACATTTAGAAGATATACAAAATCGATATAAAAAATCAAATGAGGTTTATAAATTTCTTTATTGTTATATTTATTTTTAATTATTGATTTATATTTTTTAATTACTAATTTTTTTTATAATTAAGGAACATTTTATTGTATGTTTAATTTAAATTTATAAACTTAATATATTACAAATTTTAAAAAATAAAGTAATAATTAATAGTTTATTTTAGAATGCTGAAGAAACATCAAAATACTTAAGACATATAATTGCAGATATATCAACTCAGTAGAACTCTAGTTATATAGCATGGTATCACCTTTTAGAATTAGAAAAGTATATTTGTTTATTAGAAGTTGAGTTAGCAAAAGATATTAATTATGATTCTAAAAAGGATTTTCGTTATTTAACCAAAATAATGTTAACAAATAATGAGTAGATATTACTTCGAGATTTAATTCCAATATTAGGTTTATTTGAAGAAGCAACACAATATCTTGGTGGCAGTAATTATGCTACATATAGTACACTAAATCCTATAATGATACATATTATTAATAAACTCAAACCTATATTACAACTATCAGAAGAAATTAATATTGAAAGTATCAAGGATATTTTTTCAGAACTTGAAATTTGTGATGATAAAAATAATCTAGATAAACCTATGCAAACATTTGGAGTTTTAGAAAAAGTTAAAGAAATATTATATTGTGCAATACAATTTTATTAAAAAAAAGATGATAATAAATTATATTTACCTTCTATTCTTGATCCTCAAGTTAAAAAGTTTGATTTTGCATCTGATAAAATAAAACAAGTTCAGGATTTACTAAAAACTAAATATCACAATGCAAAAGATAAATTATTACTAATTTCAACAACTATGTCATCAACTACTTCCTATGTTGATAATACCTGATCTACTTCTTCTCTATATACACCAACACTATTCAACTTCTTTAACAATCTACTATCTATCAATTTATATACTGAATTAGATGAATATTTTGCAGCTCCTCAAATTCCTTTTAATTCTGACCCATTTGCATAGTGGAATCAAAATGCTCATAGGTTTCCTGTTCTCAGCAAGTTAGCACAATCTTATCTTGCAGTTTCAGCAACTTCAACACCTTCTGAAAGGTTATTTTCAGACTGCGGCAATTGATGGGTTCTAAGAGAACATGTATGAGCCCAGAATTTTTTAAGCATTTAATGTTTCTAAAATGGAATTACAATGTCTTAGACAGTATTCACCTACAAATTTAATTTGCATAAAAATTTAAGAACTAATTTTTTATATACATATATTAATTTTTTGTTTAAACTGAATTACAAATATACAAATATTATATTCTATACTTAAAATATACATATTCAAATGTTTTTAATAATAATTAATTGTTATATATTTTATTATTACATGTAATGCATATAAGCAATTTAATTACAATATATATAAAGCACATGTAGTAAATATTATGCTAAATAAAAAATATTAAACTTATTAATTATAACATAAAAAATATTATAAACTTATTCTCGGATAATTTATAAATTCTGTGATTTAATAAGATCGAATGTTTCTTTAACCTCTTTGCTATAACATCTTGTAACATATTTCATAGCATGTTTGTTGCCTAGTTTTGCTGCTAACATTAATAACACAAAAGCCTTATATTCATCTGGTTTAACTCCCAACCTATTTTGTAGCATAGTTTAATTAGGGCCCTGAATACGCTAATTAGAAACCTCCAAGGTGATAATTCAAAGATATCATATAGGTTAATTGGTACAAAAACCTGAATTCGTACAAGGTTACACTTACATTTAATAGTATTAAAAAGTTCAATCTGTAACGAAGTGTGATATAAAATAAATAATGTGATATTATCGTATTCAGGGACTCTGTTGAAACATGAGAGTTACCGTTACTTTTCTAACTGCTTAACTAATATCTCACTATTTGTTAATATTAATTCGTATAATCAACTAGTTAACTGTAGTTAACTGTAATTAACTATTAAAACTATAAAAGTTATAGTTAACTATGCAAACTATAATCAACTATTCAAATTTTATAGTGCTACCAGGGAATTACGGCGAGTCAGTCGCTTGACTATCAAAAACCTTGCGTAACCTACGAATGGCTTAGTCGAAAGAGGGCATTTAGATTTGGGCGATGGTTTGGGTTCGTAGGTGAGTACTCTATAGCTTCCTTGGTGATTATGCCTTGGGATGTTATCACTAACAATAATCTTTTATTTATTTAAAGGAGACTTGGTGTTTGGAACTTAGACAACCAGGATACAACTATTCGTCGTGTATCCTAAATTTGGAACCACAATTACTACGGTTCGTTGGGTAATTGGAAAACAATACAACCACAACTAACCACAATCCGTCGGGTTAGCTGGACAGAATAATAAACCACGGTTAGTCTTGGTACGTTAAGACTT